TTAGACTAACAGTTGGCTAGAGCTGAGCTGTCTGCTATTCCACCCACCTCTTGAGGAGCTGTAGGTCACGGTGGTGCAGGAGGAGAGAGCCCGCTCTATGTTACCAGCACTGGTGGGGTCAAGGAACATGGCTTAAGCTCCTTATCCAGTTTGTTTGGATCCAACTCAAGTTAATGTTTTGGTTAATTTATGCAGACTCCTCTGAAGTCACAAATCCCGCAGGTGACTCCTACACTTCCCTTCATTGTATCCACTGGTTGGCAATCCTTGACCAGCGGTGAGCTGTTCCCTGCTTCGTGCCTTCTTCCTTTGGTACTTCTTGAGCACGTGCCCCCATTCTCTGCCCACGGAGACAGACGCCCCGCAGCCGACTCTGCTGCAGCTGCTGTTCTGTAAGAGTCAGACATTTCTCATCCCCTAGTTCCTTCATCTCAGTGTGCACTGTTAAGGAAACCAGATGGTCAGAACAAGGCCATCCCTCTCCTTGGAGAAGTGGGGGGCCACACCAAGACAGGAACCCCCACGCCCAGCCATTTCCGTGCTTGGGAAAGTCACTCCCCCTGTGAGAATCTCAGTTTGCTCATGAGTAAAGTGAGAGGCATGGACCAGACGATTTCTAAGTTCCTTCCATCTCTGACAATATATAAATCATTGAAAGTATAAGGATTTTAAATTCTGGTGCAGCCAGGTATTTCTTCTAATAGGAAGATCACTTTAATCTAGGATACAACCCACTAACATTTTATTAATCTGATCAGGTAGAAGCTTCCTAGAAACCCTACTTGCCATGACATTTCATGAACTGCGTGTGGGTTTCGGGGGAAGCAGTACATCATGTGTACAGTAGCCTGTAAATGTCAGTATCAGCAATTATTGAACTTCTGCTATATTTCAGTAAAAGGAAGGCAGTCTATATAATTAAAATTTTTTTCCTTTATTTTTTAAAAATTAAGATTTTTTCTTTTTATTTAAAAATTTTGTCATTATTAACATTTGAGACTGATAAAAGAATATGTGTAGCATATGTGTAATTTATGAGATGAACACCATGAGCCCAACATTCGGCTTTCAAGTTGGAGCACTGCCCATACCGCACATCTACCTGTTTTTTCCTTCGCACACCCATCGACCACCCTTCCAACACGACTGCCTTCTACTCGGAATTTTATGTTTATCATTCATCTGCTTTTGAAATATATGGTTTTATCACATCTGCATGATTCCTAGGGAATATATTGTTTACTTGTACTTGTTTTTGTAGTTTACAGGATGGTATAGAAACTACGTGTTGTCAATGACCTCTTTTTTCTCACTCAATATAATGTCTCTGGGATTCATCCAGGCTGTTAAGTTCAGCTGTGTAGTTCATTCATTTTCATACTGGCTTAAAAATCTATTGTGACAACCACACACAGTTTATTTGGTTATTCTCGTATGGACGGACGTGTGGCTTGTTTCTGGTTTTTGCTATTATGCACTATGCTGCTGCTGTGATCATTCTTGTGTGTGTGTCTTGGTACATATGTGCAAGCTTTTTTCAAGGATGCATACCTAGGAGTGGAATTGCTGGCACATTGGGTACGCAAAAATTCAACTTTAAAAGATAATGATAATTAATTGTCTTCTTAGGTGGTCGTAGCCATTTAAGCTTGCTGAGCAGCAAGCTTATTATTACCAGACTTCTCCCCATTTATATCACTGACATAATCAATGATATATTTGATAGAATAAATTATATAATTTACTTATATTATTGTAAATACCTTCTCCCAGTTTGTGCCTTGCGTCTTAAATTTCTTTATAGTGTCTTTTGACAAAGAGAAGCTTGTAATTTTTTTTGCCCTGAGCTAACATCTGTTGCCAATCTTCCTCTTTTTGCTGGAGGAAGAGTCGCCCTGAGCTAACACCTATGCCAATCTTCCTCTATTTTGTACATGGGTTGCCACCACAGCATGGCTGCCAATGAGTGGTGTAGGTCTGTGCCTGGGAAGTGGGGCATGTCAAACTTAACCACTAGGCCAGGGGCCAGCCCTGAGAAGCTTGTAATTTTAACATAGTTAGATTTATCAATCATTTCTCTTATGATTACTGCTTTTAGGAATTCCTGTCCTATCTTGAAATGATAAACACTTTTATATGTTTTTTTAAAAAAATTTAAAGTTCTACCTTTAATGTTTAAGTTCTTAAACCATGTGGAATTTATTTTTGCTAAGGTGTGCAGTGTAGATCCATTTTCTTCTCTTTTTCCATATGGATAAAACAATTTCTGACACCTTTTATAAAATAGTCCTTCTCTTCCCCAGAGATTTGTGATGTCATCTCTGTTCATTTCCTTGTTGTGTGTCTAGAAGTTTCTAGAGCTTTTTAATCTTTCATATGGATTTTAGAATCAGCTTGTCGAGTTCTTAAAAATTATTTTTGTTTCTTACAGATTTTAGATTTTGATAGAAACATTGTTGAATATTTGGCTCCATTTGGAAAAAGGTGACTTCCCTATGATATTGAATCTTTCTAACAGTGAACATGGTAGATCTATCCATTTATTTAGGTCTCATTAATATTTTCCAATAATGTTATAATTTTCTTCATAAAGGTCTTGCACATCTTTTGTTAGTTTTATTCTTAAGTACTTCATAGTTTTGTTACAACTGTAAAAAATTACATTTTCTGTTTGTTAGTAGATTTTTTAATATTGCTGTTATATTCAGTTGCTCTGAAAACCTCTCTTTAATTCTAACAAATAATATGTACCTATATAATATGTATAATACGTACATATAATATAATAATATAATATAACGTAATATAATACATAGAGTATAATAGAGCATCTTTGTCTTGTTCCTTATTTTATGGAGAATTCTTTTAAAATTTCATCATGAAAAATGACGTTACCTCTAGATTTGGGGTAGATAACTTTACAAGCTTTAAAAATGTCTGTCCTTATTTTGATAAGTTTTCTTTCTTTAATTGTAAAGGGATGTTGAATTTTATAAAATGCTTTTCTTCTGCATTATTTGAAATGATCATATGTTTCTCTTCTGCTTTAATCAGTCAATGCAGTATATTTACACATATTTAGATAATCTGGGTAAATTATAGAATTGTTAATATAACACATTTCTCAAAACCTACTTCTTTTCTGGTCCAAATGTTTCCACAACAGTGGCCCCCAAATTCAGATTTCAGTATGAAAGTAAGTGGAACATAATGGGTAATCCATCACACTTCCCTTTAGTTTACCATTGTTCCCTTACTAACGTCATACCATGGTTGCATTTCTGGGATAAACCCAAGTTAGTTGTTCCTTGTTCCTAATGTTTGCAACTTTGTTCATGAATGAGATGTTCATGTTCATGAATGAGATTGACCCATAATTTTCCTCCTATACAGTTCTTTCAGGTTTGGGGATCAGTGTCACAGACGCTTCATAGAATGGGTTGGAATTCTTCATAGAATTCTTTTTTTTTTCTGACTCCCTGAAAGAATTTGCATAAATTTGGAACACTCTCTGTTTTGAAAGTTCAGTAGAATTTGTCTGAAAACCTTCAGGTCTTGGTATTTTCTTTGTAAAAAGACATTTATCTTCTAATTAAATTTACGTAAGATTATAGGAATTTCTTTTTAGTCTGTTTTGATGTTATATTTTTCTCGGAATTTGTTCATTTGGTCTATGTCATGATAGTCATCTATGTTCATAGATGGGGTTCTACCTGAAGTTTTCCTAACGTGCTTGTAAAAGCCTTGATTTAGGATTATTTTAGGTTTCTTACCATCTTTTACAGGTTATATCTGTTTACATTATGGTCAGGTAGACAGTTTGTCAACTTGTTAATTCAAGTGCAGTTCAGCCAAGTGTCTTCTCAACTAATTTTTCTAGAAAGATCTTTTTCTTGTCTTCTCAAAGCTGATTGCCTTAGGTTTTTATTTTTATTTTTATTTTTTTTTGCTGAGGAAGATTCGCCCTGAGCTAACATCTGTGCCAATCTTCCTCTATTTTGTATGTGGGTTGCCACCAGAGCATGGCTGATGAGTGGTGTAGGTCTGTGCCCAGGATCTGAACCCATGAACCCGGGCCACTGAAGCAGAGTGTGCCAAACTTAACCATTATGCCACCAGGCCACCCTCTGCCTTAAGGTTTTTTTTTTTTTGTGAGGAGGACTAGCCCTGAGCTAACATCCGATGCCAATCCTCCCCTTTTTTCTTGAGGAAGAGTGGCCCTGAGCTAACATCCGTGCCCATCTTCCTCTACTTTATATGGGACACCACTACAGCATGGCTTACCAAGCGATGTGTCAGTGCGCGCCCGGGATCTGAACCTGTGAACCCCGGGCCACCAAAGCAGGGTGCACGCACCCAACCGTTTGCGCCACTGGGCCGGCCCCCTTGCCGTAGGTTTTTAATGAGAATATGTGAGGTATTTCTTAGCCACCTCACCCTACCCAATGTACCCAGATGTACAGTGAATATAATTGACAGTTTGACGACTTAGCATCACAAAATATCCGCTGTTATTATCTTGAATTTGGATTATATAGCATGGCACTACAGCTCTAAAAAGGCATTTAAAAAGGAAAACAACAAACAATAACACTAACAAAATCTTAATCTAAAAACTTTTTATCTCATTTTTTTTATCTTCTAAAATTTAAATGTGTAGAAATAAACAACATTCCTGTTAAGTATGAGCCTTCTGGATAATCTAGGTTTCCACGTAAATGGATATGTAGCAAATGAAGTAACTCTTTCATTCATTCATTCCTATCTGTCAAGAGAACAGATTATAATTCCACAGTAAGTAATTACTTACTTAATTTGTTCACAGTGTTAAAGATCTTTGTGAACCACGTTCAGGGCCAAGTGTAATCACACATGGTGGTGCCACCTTGTGAGTGTGTTATGAAGAATGTGCAACACCACCCTATAATTCAAGTTTTCATGAAGTGTTAAACTGCCACTTGAAACATGGAACATACTGATATTCTGAAAATATTTTGCAGGACGAAGCTGTTTGTTTAGATGCTGAGGTAGATGAACATATTAGCTGGTTCCAGCAAGAATATGTGAAAACAGACAAGGATTGGAGAGAAATCGATAAGAGGATGAGCCAGACTTTGGAAATCAGAAGAAAGTTGATTGGGAGCAGAACGCCTCTGAAGGACATTCTTAAAATGTTTCCTTTCCTGAAGTGCCCTTATCAGGTATCTTTGCTTGCTTATAATACCCTGATTACAGTGTCCAAATTGATTTTCCTCTTTCCCCCTGGCGTGGGAACAGGCCACGCCTGTTCCCAGTAGCAGTATGGTGGGTGTGAATCTCGGTTGGGTGTGTGAGGCCTCAGGGGCTGCAAATAGGATCATTTGGTAAGAATTTCTGGAAGCATATTCTGATAACACGCACTGGCTGCCTTCAGATTTAAAGCATTTCCTGTCATTGGATATACTGTGGAGGCCGGGGGACCACTACTTCTGGATATTTTGACAGTGTGAGACATCTTCCCTTTGTATGCATTTAGACAATAAAGATAGTTTTTTAAGGAACTGTTAGTATGCAACATTGCTCAAAATCTATTTCCTTTATGATCTCAGATCATTTCATAAAGTGGTCTGAAAATATATGAAGTTTGATGGGTAAATCAAATACGCTGCCATTTCGTTTACTTAAGGTGGCCATTAAAGGGTCCTATTACAATTTTAGTGTAATTTAGGTGTAGTGTATAATGAAAGAGTCATCAGTTTTTACCTGAGAACACATTTCATGGAAGCATTCTGTGGGGTGCAATCAAGCAAATTGAAAATGAAAAGTTTTACATATTTTTCTTCTTCCCCTAAGAAAACTGAAATAAGAATTTGCCTGCATGTTTTATTTTATTATAACGTCAATATCAAACATCTGAACTTACTATGTAGCAGGCATGTTCTAGCACATTACATGGATTATTTTATCTAATCCTCTCAGCAAACCTACCTTGACTATTGCCTGTACCAGTTCTCTTAATCTTTGGGTTGCTGGGAACAGTAATAGCCAGTAGCCCCTGGCTATTAGAACAGTATGCCAGATTGACACACCTACAAAATATAATTTTAAAGCAAAAAATCTGTCAAACTGATAGTTTATAAACTTTTTAAATGTAGGGAGCATGTTTTAAACATCTTAGTAGTTCCTAAAGTGCCTAGCAGAGTACTGTGTGTGAAATACAAATGAAGTGTTAATTTTTTGAGTGCTGAATGAGTTAGTGGATGGTTGGTGTCTTAGTCTGCTTGGGATGCTGTAACAAAAATAGCATAGACTGGGTGGCTCATAAACAACAGAAATTTATTTCTCACAGTTCTGGAGGTTGGGAAGTTCAAGATCAAGGCACTGGCAGATTCGGTGTCTGGTGAGAGCCTGCTTTCTGGTTCATGACTGACGTTTTCTAGCTGTGACTTCACATAGCTGAAGGAGCAAGCTAGCTCTCTGGGGTCTTTTGTATAAGGGCATTAATCCCCTGCATGAGGACTCTGCCCCCATGACATAATCACTCCCAAAGGCCCCACCTCCTAACACCATCACATTGGGCATTAGGTTTCAACACATGAATTCTGGGGGAACACAAACATTCATTGGCTAGCAGGTGGTAAGGCTGCTCCATCACTGATGTTGCAGCCTTAGGGGGCCTCACTGGAGTGCAGCCTGCAAAGGTTTAGTGATTAAAATAGATGAGCTGTGGTTCAGCGGCCTTTCAAAGAACCGTAGATGATAGTAAGTCTGAGGTCCAGTACAGCCTGAGTGAGGAGAAGAGAGATTTCAGACCTAAAACTGTCTCTCTCATGCTTTGTCCAAGTCTCTGTCTTTCCCCCATTCCCTCAGGTATTTCACCCTTTATATCCAAAATATGGATTGGGGTATGGTTTTTGTAATGACTGTATTGTCTATTTCTTGTTTTAAATACAAGAGTTAAACATTTTAGATTTCTTCAGAAAGTACCTCCCTAACTCAGCCTTGTGTAGCTAGCTGGAATTTACAATTCATAAAGCCCTTGTTGCTCTTTCTAAAATAAAAGCAAGCTTGACCTTACTTACAAATAGCCAGTTAACAACAATCTCTATAATAGGCCAGCTGCCCCCGCTCCAAACCACCCCCACCACTTGTTTCCACGACCACGGTGAAAACGCTCTGAGCTTAGGGAGCTTGTGGACACAGGGGTGGCAGAAGAGAGGCAGCTGGTGTGGAAGCCAGTCCCAGGGGCTGACACGCACCCTCCCTCACCACCTGCACTCATCAACCTTCTCCTCTCAAAAAACTGTCTCTCAACAGAAAATTTAAAAATTTAAAATAAAAAAAAAGGACTTTATTAGACTATCTGAAATATTGTCAACTAGGAATTTGTTACTGGGATCTATTGGATGTGGCACAAGACAAGCAGGAAGGAGTTGAGGGGAAAATACCAAACGCAAATTTAAACAATTCCTCAAATTTTCCAACAAATCCTTTGAGATGCTAGTTTTCACCTTACTGAGAAACTATTTCAACAATTGTCATTTAAAACTTAAGTGAAGTACCTAAGAATCACCAGCTAACACAATAAAGTCTGAAAAGAAAAGAAAATAAAGGAATCTGAGTTCTGCTTTTGGCCATGATGGAGTAACCAGTACTGGTCTTGCCTTCCCACCATTAGCATGGATACATCTGGGAAAAAATAATGAAGCTAAGGCTTTCAGGCATTGGATAGTAGGCATCCCAGGACTCTGATCCTTGATAAAAAGGGAACACCTAGGATGTGCCCCAGCTTTCTACCTCAGGGTTACTTTCTAGATCATGGCACAGAAATGTGGAAGCCAATCAAAATGTGGTGGTCTCTCTGAGCTGCACAGGAAGAGAGTGGAGTTTGGGAATGATGAAGCAGTTGGTATCTTCAGGACACGGTACTAGAGGAACCGGGGGGCGGGGCAGAATTCTACATAGAGATCCCCCAGAGGTCCCTGGGTGAGGGCTACACTACCCGGGATGAGACCCTGCAATAACATACATAGAGAGGCTGCTACAGAACTGAAAGCTGATATCAGAGGCCACACAGTGTTGAAAAATAAGAGTTCTGGCCAATCAGAGTGGAGAGAGCTTGCTGAGCACCTTGGGTGTCCATCTGAGACTCTAGAAAGTTGACACTTTATATCCTAGATGAGTCAGGGTCATTACCCCGGACTAAGGACAAAAACCAAAACAGATCTGTCCAAATGATAAAATCAAGTCTGACAGGACCAGAAGGATCCACCAGTAATTTATTTAGCTGCCTGCCAGAACACATCTAGTACCCTGGAAAGGAACACAGTGTAATCCAGACTCCCGACGAGTGGGTCACTAGGAGGAATCGTGAGTGGTGCCACTCCAGGTTTCTACTCCTGGATTCCTGGCCCTGTGAATCTTGGCTACGAGAGAAACAGCACCATATATTGGATGCTAATTCAGAGCATATACAGCCTCCTGGAGAATCTTTCTGCAGCCTTGCAAGGAATTGCTAGCTAACTGGTGCTCTAGCTGAGTCTTCACAGGCCATTTCACTCTTCTATCAAGCCAGCTGCCTCACGACGGTGGGGAACATGGTAAGACCAGTGAATTCCATCTACCATTACTGTGGGGCATCTCAGCAGAGAAATGGAAAATATATTAAAAAAGAACTAAACTGAAATTTAGAAGTGAAAAGAACGTTTATCTAGAATGAAAACATCACTGGATAGGGAAATGCATATTGAGAAATGCACAGAAAGGGTCTGTGAACTTGAAAATAGATCAATAGAAATTATCCAATCTGAATAACAAAAAGAAAAAGGATTAAGATTAGTAACCTGTGGGGCAAAACCTGGGGTTGTGGAGAGAGGGGCTTTTCTGTGGCTGAACATTCACGGCTGGGAGTTTGGCTACATGAGGTGTGGGGAAAGTACACAAATAAGTTAATACACTGAGGATAATGGGAGCCAAGTTTCTCACTGTTGAAGAGTTAGAATGTATGGAAAGGGAAGTTAGAATAAGCCCTGTGGTATTGGGCTGGAACTGAAGGTATCAGTGTAAACTCATTGTTTTTAATATTTATATAGGTATATAAACAGATATAGACATGTGTATGTGTACAAATACATGCTTCCCAGCTTTGTTCTGTGAGAAATTCTAGAGCAATAACACCTCTGTAACAAGCAGCACTCCTAGGGCTGAAATCTTAGTTTCTAAATACCCGTCTCCATTAAAAGGAACCAGGGCTCTTGGGGAAACAGCTGATTCCAGGGCTGGGCAGAAAAAATACAAGATGAACCTGAGATATTCTGTGGTGCTAGAAATTAAGGAAGTGATCACAGACTAATAGGCTATGTCAAGAGGTCACAGGAGTCAGCTTGAAGCAGCTCCCACTGGCAAAATCTAGATAATCCGAACATTAATATAAATAATTATATTTATATTAATATAGGTATGATTATATTTATAATTAATTAATATGAATACAAATAAAGAACCAGATTTATAACCATTTGAGTAAAATAGAAATTTATTAGTCTGTAGTGATAGAAATAAAGGAATAAATAAATAAATGTGGAAGAAGAATAAGCTCTATGCTGGAGTAGAAAGCCAACTAATAAATTTAGAAAGAATGATGGAATTACCATTTGGCAACTCGCATAGTAATCCTCGATTCAGGCAAGAATCATTGATGGATGCTAAGTTTCATGTTCAAAGTTACAAGAGGAAGAAGATATTTACATAAACACAAGGTATCTCCCCATAAAATACTTACAACTATATATTAATTAATAAGTACAACATATATATTAATTAATCTGAAGAAACCTGCAGATTCCATCTTAACCAAGTGATAAAAGTTAATATCTTTAATAATGGGACCACTTACCATCTTCCTGATGCAGTGAGAAGTGCTAGCATTCTTCCTAAAAGCAAACCTAGAATGAGGGACGTTTTACAAAGGAATTGGCCTCTACTTTTCAAAAATGTCAAGGAATATAAGGAAAAACCAAGAAGCTGTTTTAGACTGAAGTCTGAAGGAGACTAAAGAGACATGATACCTAAATTTCACAAGTGTTCCTGGATTAGATCCAGGACTTACAAAGAACATGACTGGAACAACTGGCGAGCATGAATGGGGTCTGTGGATTAGATTTTCCTGATTTCGATGGTTTTGCTATGGTTACCTAGGAGGGTGTCCTTGTACTTAGGAAATATGCAGTGAAGAGTTAAGGGGAAATGGGCATCATGTCTACAGCTTACTTTCAAATGGATCAGAATTATTAGCATCAGGGGAAGTTGCACGAAGGGTATACGCGAGCTCTACTATTTCTGCAACTTTAATGTAAACTTGAAATTATTTCAAAATAAAAGGTTAAAAAAATTCCTAGCCTATGCGCCCAGGAAAGTGGAGGAATATTCCCCCACTTCATACTTCACTTCATAACTCCCTGCTGAGAGCAGACCCTTTTAGGGTATTAATCTAGATTAGTGGTCCACTGAGGGCTGCCTGACAACAGCCACTATGCCTTCATGAGAATGTGCATTCCGGTTTTCGGACAGCTTTTAGACCTAATCTTTGGGCAATTTATGATCTACTAAAATATTCAAGGAACGATGAGACCCAGTGGGTAGTATGCACTGTTCTTTACAGAGTTTTATGGAAAACGATGATTACGTTGATTCCTACTAGAGTGGGTAATGAATAGTCTTATAATGCCACTGTCGAAAAACAGTGGGGAGGGTGACAGTGGTGGTGGAATTCTCTGAGGGGAAGAACTTAGGCAGGGGCAGGAGGTGCTTTGATCTTGAAGTCAAATCTCCTACACTTACACTGTTTCTCACTCTTTATTCCTGTCTGATCTTACAGAGTCTCTAAAGCTCTCTCCTTTCCCTTTAGGATACTATGGTTAGCTATTTTTCAAGGTTTGCCTCCTAAAACCTAACAATTTTCTTTTTTGCCTCTTGTTGGACACTGCCAAAACATAACAACGTAGTTTACCTAAAGAAATGTAAGATCCTAGAATCTTAGCTGGGTAATCCAAATAGCCAAAATACGCATATATACTTTGGAACCATTATTTATTTATTTTCTTTCTTTCTTTTAATTTTTTGTTTATTGCAGTAACATTGGTTTATAACATTGTATAAATTTCAGGTGTACATCATTATACTTCTATTTCTGCATAGATTACATCATGTTCACCACCCAAATACTAATTACAACCCATCACCACACACATGTGCTGAATTATCCCTTTCGCCCTCCTCCCTCCCCGCTTCCCCTCTGGTAACCACCAATCCAATCTCTGTCCCTATGTGTTTGTTTATTGTTGTTATTATCTACTACTTAATGAAGAAAATCATATGGTACTTGGCCTTCTCCCTCTGACTTATTTCACTTTGCGTAATACCCTCAATGTCCATCCACGTTGTCACAAATGGCTGGATTTCATAGTTTCTTATGGCTGAGTAGTATTCCATTGTGTATATATACCACGTCTTCTTTATCCATTCGTCCCTTGATGGGTACTTAGGTTGCTTCCAAGTCTTGGCTATTGTGAATAACGCTGCAATGAACACAGGGGTGCATGTATCTTTACGCATTGGTGTTTTCAAGTTCTTTGGATAAATACCCAGCAGTGGAATAGCTGGATCATATGGTAGTTCTATCCTTGATTTTCTGAGGAATCTCCATACTGTTTTCCATAGTGGCTGCACCAGTTTGCACTCCCACCAGCAGTGTATGAGAGTTCCCTTCTCTCCACATCCTCTCTAACACATGTTGTTTCCTGTCTTGTTAATTATAGCCATTCTGACTGGCGTGAGGTGATATCTCATTGTAGTTTTGATTTGCATTTCCGTGATAGTTAGTGATTTTGAACATCTTTTCATGTGTCTGTTGGCCATCTGTATATCTTCTTTGGAGAAATGTCTGTTCAGGTCTTTTGCCCATTTTTTAATTGGGTTGTTAGTTTTTTTGTTGTTGAGATGCATGAGTTCTTTATATATTTTGGAGATTAAGCCCTTATCAGATGTATGGTTTGCAAATATCTTCTCCCAATTGTTAGGTTGTCTTTTTGTTTTGTTGATGGTTTCCTTTGCTGTGCAGAACCATTGTTTAGTTGAATCTGCATCCAGAGTTTTAATTCTATGGACTGAGAAGATTGCCATGTCCATCATTTATCTCTTCCTGTTCACTGTGGGCTTCCATTCTTCTCTCCTCCTCCGTCCTAAGTCTTTACTTCTCCACTAAAGCTACTCGAATATCTAGTATATATTTTAAACTAGCATTCGAAGCTTAATATAATTCTATATTCTAAGTGTTATTTACTTCCTTACATTCTATGCATTAGCTTTTCTTGTGATCTGATGTATTTTACTTCTTTTTTCAGATGTTTAGAGAATTCCAACTTCTTACAAGAACAGATATCTATAAGAAAACAAGGCACATTTTGGAATCCTATTCAGAAAATATACTGACTTCTCTTTCAGTGGTGGACAATCCAATCCATATCGCATTGCAAGAAAAAATGAAACAGCACACAGATGAAGACGTGTTGAAACGTTAGTAAACCTGAGGGGTGGGGTGATCTGGTCTCAGTTATCTGTATAATTCAAGATAATTAGAAAAGTTCTGTCTTGGTAATAAGTAAAATTTAGTGAAACAACACGTGGGAAAGAAAAAAGAATTTCTCAAATAGGAGGAGGTATAGATTTAAAAAGTACATTCAATATTGTAAAATTATATTTAGGGAGCCAGTAACTTGTTAATTTCATAATATAAATCACAAGGTAAATCATGATAAAATCATCCTGGCTGATGGATCTTATCCTCTACTGGCTGTGATCTGGGGGCAGAACATGAGATCTTGAATGTTTATTGAAGGGGATGTTGGTTCAAAATGGTCAAGAAACACTGATCTAAGAAGGCTAGCTGTTCTCTGTAGAAGGTAACGATTAAAAAAAAATCCAGAAGTTTTAATATTAGCTTTGCTTACAACAATTGGTAAAAGTTTATTTTTACTCAGACTGTTTGCTTTGACAGATATGAAGATGACAGCCACATGTTTACTCCTACCAGATGTTTTTGGGGATGATCCCAGCCTTTTTGTCATTATGAATGAGAAGGTATGCAGTGTATCAATGATCATCGGTTTGACATTTCACACCTTTATATAATTTATTTGAAAATGGGATGGTGGTCTATTTTTAAATGTTTTGTCATATTTACAAATTTGACAAATTTGTAAACATGAAAAATTTATAAATATGACAAATTTGTCATATTTGCAAATATGCTAAAAATTGCAATAAGCTAATTTATTATAATATCATGGTTAAATTGAGAACCTTGTATTATTTAGCTATTTTACACATCATGGGGTGGTGACTCCATTATCCTTTTTTTTCAGGTGCAGGTGTCCACGCCTGTGTTAGAAGTTAAGAACCCTTTCAACATTGATGTCTGTGAATTTTCTTTGTATTTAGAAAAAGAGAGGCTCACACAAGTGGACGACTGTGTCACGGCCTTGGCTGCTCTCATAGCTGCCTTTCACGTATTTGGGATCGAGTGTCCAAGAAGACTGTCCCAAACCCTCAACTTTCTAGAGACACTGATTTTTGATATGCACAGTCCCTATTTTCCTTCTGTGAATGAAAAGGAAAAGCAAGTAGGATTTCAACAACCAGTCACTTAATGATCACGCCAAATATTGTATCAGAATTGATCTCTGGGGCAGCTGAAACTTTACACAAAGTTGTTTCAATTTAGGGTACGGTAGTGGGTAGGTATTGGAAAGTCATGTCTCAAAGGCGCGAATCAATTTCAATGCCTTCTATCTTTACGCTTAGATACTTAAGTTATCTGTGAAAGTCTGTAATAAAATACTACTTAGCTGCTGATTTTTGAGGTCTGAGAAATTCCATGGTCCAAGTTACACTTTCAAGGATGCATTATTTTTTTAAAAGACACTACACTTCAGATTTCCTCAAATCCTCTGGATTGGGGTATGACTTTGTACTTCACGTGCCCACCTTTGAGAGACTTAATGCCCAGGAGCTGCACATCTGAGGCCCGTAGGCTGCCTCATTGGTCTGACCACTGCTTGGAAACATTTTGAATTTAACATTTTAAGAGGATGCATATACTTCCCAGTTCTGTCTCTCCCAGCTGACCTGCCTGGCTCTGGACGTTTGGTGGGTTTCCTTCAACCACATTTGTTGAGAACAAGGGCTCCTTTATTCTTGAGGTCTCCTCACCGTGGGCCCATCTCGCTGGCACCGATCTCCGAGCACCTGTGACCTGTGTCATGTTCCACTGCTTCCCCCATTAAGGTGTAACGATTCACCCGGTTCTTGTCTCCCCACACAGTTTCTGGTTTTCCCCGGCCTTGACCTCGGTGTTTGCGTCTGCCCTGGTTGCTGCCTGGGCTTGTTTGGATCCGTAATATGGAGCTGGCTCGGCACTCCCAGAGCCACTTGGGCTTCAGCTTCCAGTTTTCAGGGTAGGCCCCTTCCTAGACCTGCCCTCCAGCATCTCTCAGGAGACCTACTTCTGGTTCCTCATCCAGCCCGGAGTCCCAGGTTGTAACTCTATTCCTTCTGTTCAGAACGATGGCTGCACAAGTACTTTGTAGGTCTAACAAGACTCAGCGCACTTTCGCTCTTTCCCAAGTATTTCACAAGGAAAGACTACAACACTACAGTTTTAAGGTCATCATCACAATATCAACATCACTCATCGGTTTTGATAGAACAGGTTGGTTTGGAGACTGAAGAGATTTCAGTTGCTAATTCTTGCATCACAATGAGATGAGCAATTCCTGGGTTACTTCATCAAATTAAATTTCTTAAAAAGTCTAGGAAGAAAGAGGTTCATATGACTTACTGAAGAAATATTTTTATAATATACATCTCTGGAAATACTGCAAAAGATTTATTCTAATATCTTTTTCTCTATAAGGACTGCTATTAAAACGCTTAAGTCAGTGAGATAAAGAAAGTGAACGGTCAGTTGCCCACCTCTGCAATGACCAGTCACCACCTACGAGAACGGACAGGCAGAGTGAGTAACAATTCGGTACATGTCATTTTCACATAACCTAGTCCCTATTCCACAGTTGCCGTTTATTCCGATTCATGAGAATGTGCCTTTAGTTCCTTAGAGACTTTCCTTTATTTTTCCTGAATATTTCCTCCCCCCATTTGTAAGTTTCATAATCTGTCTTACTCCTCTTCTCCCAAATGAATTTGCCAAGTTCTTAACAATTCCTTTCCTCAGGAGGTCCACGATCTCTCTGGCTGAGGTTGAATGAAAGCCTCCCTTGTTCCTTTAGGCTGGGGCAGAGGGCCAGGGGTGGGGCTGCAGGAAACTGCAGGGAAGTTTGGCTGCAAACATGACACAGACATGAGCTGACCACAGGGCAGGTTCGGGGAAGCTTTATTGTCTCTTTCAATGGTGCACCTATCCCCAGTGCCCAGCATGGCCCTGCCACTTGGTAAAATCCAATACTGCTTGACTAACATAACCCTATTTTCTTTGGAGGCTGAGTCCATTGAATCTAGAAGTTGCAAAAGGGCAGCCTGGGGCCATATTTCAACCTGCAGACAGGTCTCACTTGGCTTGCACAGTGTAATGTTTTTAAATGCCTTTAGATGGGAATCAGGTTCCACATTCCCCATCCCCCATCTCTCCCTTTATCTTACCCCAAGCCTGCTTCTCTCATTTCAGGGACCTCCCCGTCATCATGGCTCCCTATTTCCTCCGTTAAAACTGAGACTATATCTCAGGGATGGAATGGTGAAAAGGTTTCCGCTTCCTGCGGTAGACTGCTCCACCCTAAGGATGCTTAATGCTCGCCTCTAACATATAACAACGTGCTACTTAGAATGAGTGCTGTTTTCAGTAAGATTTGAAAGTCCTTTTGTTAAAATATATGCTTTAAACCAGAAAGGAGAAGTCTCCAAAGGGCATGAATCCTATTTGACCAAGTAATATAATTTTTCCTTTGTGTGTCATTCTTCACATTATCTGGGACATAGTTCGACGAACAATTCTGAATCCTACAGATCCATTACACAGCTCTCAATGCCCATATGTTTGGTACTGTTCCTGCTCTCTTTCACCCCTCCTATTTGACAAGCTTTCTTAAAAATCATACTTATGTAAAAGAGTATCTGCAATTAAGATTTTATTTCATTCATGTCAGATATAACAAGTGCAACTTGAATGTACAAATTCTGAAGAAAACATAAAAAAGGGAAAAAAAAACCAACAATGAAAAACTTATTTAAGCAGATTCATGCAAAGAAATGAATGGGACCCTGCAGATGTCATGGATCTTGTTTCACCTGGAATTATGACAAATGCAAAGGACTGCTCACAGACTTCCAACAGGGGACACCAGAGGAAGTCCTACATCAGGAAAAACGAGAGCAACTAAGGAGAGAGGTGGAACTTTCCCCAGAATTCAGACAGCATGCTGCAAACTTACTTTACTTTTAAATAGTCCTAAATAAATGTCCAATCCCAGAATTAGAAACTGCATCCGAAGGCTGATAAAACAATTTACCTCTTGCATTGGAAATGCATTCCTGCAAAGAAACACTACCGCTATCAGTTCATAGGTCATCAAGGGCTTTCCTTTAAAGGGCACCTATATGCTTATATATTGAGGCAAACTGCTCTACAGAGAGAAGGGTCTTCCAAAACAGGTTTTGAATAATTGCTTTGGGAAATCGCCTCCCTGATCTGCGAGCATTTAGTGTAAACTGCTGTTGCTCCCTCCCACCCTGCCTTTTCAGTAAAATCTCTATACTCTCTTCAGTCAACCCTGAAGAAAAGCTTTGGGTTTAGAGGACACCACAAGATCTGAGACACAGCTCTGTGTGGATTAGTGTTTCTATCCACAGAATGAGCCCTTACCCATCTCTGAGGAGCACCAGTTACCTCGATGACCATTAGAGAGAAGCTCAAGATAATCTCATAAATAGTTCCAGACCCTTACAAACACCCCCTCCCCGCCAACGTAACTGCATATTCCTCTGATACTATTGGACACGTGTAAACACACAGGGCACCACGATCTATGAGACTGATGTCATTGTACATCACCTAATTTATTTATGTTTATATATTTTATTTTTCAATTCCATTATTTATATACATGTTTTTGGTAATTATCGTAAAGATGCTGGTGAAAAGTAATTTGTTTAACATTTCATAATACGTGCAAAAGTAAAAACACTGATTTAAAGGAAAGTAATTTTTACAACTATTCAGCCCCAACAAATTATGACAAGCAGTTAGGCAATAGCATGACTTGCAAAGTTATACTTAGCATAAGGTCGCAATTCAAAATATGGCACAGAATCAACAATACACATAACAGTCCCGCTGGCCGCACTTCACCAGGTTTTGACTAATTTGGTTTAAGTTGAAATCTGATTATATAAAAAGATTCCTGAAAGTATTGAAAAAGAAAACAGTGTGCATGAAAGAGAATTCAACTATGTTTACAAAATGCGGAAAGTTCTTACTCTGCCCCCCTTATCCATAAATAATTAATGAAGTCCCCCTTTCCCCCCACCCCCCAGCCTCAAAAAGATTTACAAAGATAAATTTAGCTCAGTGAACAGAACCAAAAGATGACTGTTGTTCGACAGTACCCGGTTAAAAGCTCGAGCACTTTCATAGGAATTCATATACATTGTCTCTCGAGGAATATAAATAATCCGATAGCACTGTTCTTTTGAGTTTTGGAGACTTCTCACTTAGGAGTTATAACTGTTCTTGTGCTTTGAATAAAACATGAGCTTTAAAGCAGAAAGCTGACAGTATTCAAAATTCACCATCTTCAAAGTTCATTGTGAGAGTTCTTCTCTGCAGCTTTGAACATCAGGATAGAATTGAAAATTTTGAGAGCAGGGCCCAGCTTAATGCTCATAATTTTAACAATGTCTGTTTGGGTCATAAGCAGAAATGCTTCTCCATCAATTTGCTAAAATGAGAGGAAGAGACAAAAGATTGTGAATCAATCAGATATAGTGTTGTGGGAAATATTCACAGTTAAATTATCAGCTGTCTTCTACACAGCAACACTAAAATGGCACAGACAGGAGTTCATGTGCACAAACAACATTGCCTGATAAGCAGACCTTTCTTATCTACAACAACACACCCGAGTGTGGACTGCAAGCAAAGTAAAACTCACTCATCTGAAAAAATCAGGAAATCAGCCAGCAGGAAAATGGAAGGTGCTTGTGATTCCTCTGATTTAGGCAATGAGTTGAGAAGAATTTGGAAAAATCTGAGGTGTCTCAACTCCAGTTCATATCACGGTAGGTTTTATTTATTTATTTATTTTTAACAGTTTTATTTATTTATTTTTTGTGAGGAAGATCAGCCCTGAGCTAACATTCATGCTAATCCTCCTCTTTTCGCTGAGGAAGACCGGCTCTGAGCTAACATCTATTGCCAATCCTCCTCCTTTTTATTTTTTCCCCAAAGCCCCAGTAGATAGTTGCACGTCACAGTTGCACATCCTTCTAGTTGCTGTATGTGGGACGCGGCCTCAGCATGGCCGGAGAAGCGGTGCGTTGGTGCGCGCCCGGGATCCGAAGCCGGGCCGCCAGTAGCGGAGCGCACGCACTTAACTGCTAAGCCACGGGGCCGGCCCCTCGTGGTAGGTTTTAGAATTAGAGATGAGAAGAGG